GCCTAGGTAAGGTGTCGTCTTGCGATTACTTCAATGCATTATTTCAAGCTGTTTTGTGTAGGAGGAATGTTGATCAGTGTAAAAGATATCCGGCGGAGGGCGTGGTCACAGTTCTTTGCATGTTTTGAAATGACTGAATTTTTCGCTTGATATCTGACCTTCCCTTTACTTTTCGTCATTGTCGTCTTTAGCTCCTCTGTTTACACTAACTGTGCGTTATAAAACTACGAAGAAAACGTGAGTTGTGGTCAGAGTGCGTGTATTTACTTATATATTCATAAAGCGTTTGGCGACCTCAAGTGGGTGCGCTACGGAGATTAATTGCGGAGCTTAAGCAACGGCGACGGCAACGAGAACGGCAAAAAAGCAATAGGTTTAGAATGGCAAAACAACTCTCTCTTTTTTTTTTTTGTTGCTGTCACTTCACGAATACGAAGTGAAACTTCCTTATTTCACGTTTTATGGAGGACGTGGACAGAAGACAACGATTTTCTTTTTCTTTCTGTGAACTTAGATACTCAGTGCCCTTTGGAATTCAACTCCAGAAAAAATCTCCAACATTTGACAAATTAAAAAGAGTTGAACTGAAATACCGTATCTCCTCGAATAATAGCCGTCGCTCGATTAATCGCCTCCCTCGAATAATCGCTCCCCTTTGACGGAAATATTTAAAATAATCGCCTCCCTCAAATAATCGCGCTCCCAGAGCCCCCCTCTCACCACTATAGGTAACCCGCTATCGATTGCCATAGCGATAAATCTGGAGGATGAGGCTGAAGTCGAGTCTGATTCATGCAGCAAAAAACTGATCAGTTACGATTCAAGCTCTGAAAATTAATCAAGGAACCAGATTTGGAACACTTAAAAGCCCATGTTCTGTTTCGTTGATGTGATTATTTTTTGAGTTAATGGCAAAATAGAACAAAATATTTAGGGCAAAACTTCCAGTGAACAATATCTGAAGTGATCGCCTCCCTCGAATAATCGTCTTCCCTCGAATAATCGCCCCCTTTTGGTGCGAAAAAAGAAAAAATCGTCCCCGGCTATTATTCGAGGAATGCGGTAAGGGCGATGAAGTTTGAAACAGCTCAAATTCAGTTTTTGAGTGACGTTTTCGCTGCTGTAACCGTCGTCGTTTGTTAAGCTCCCTATTAAGTGTCGAACTCCGAAAGAGGGCCAGATGAAGAGAAACCTTCACTCTAATTTGCTACCTGAGCAGGCAAGATTGTCCTTTCTCGCCCGCTCAGGATTTCGCGCTTCGTCCAGCAAGAAAAGATTTTGTTTTAGCTACGTAAGAAATCCTTCATTCACCAAGATTGTTTCGGTCACTATGGCTGAAGCCGCCTAAACATATTTGACCCCTTTCTTTGTTTGCGTCTTTATTGACCTCAACTTCCCCAGCGTTCAGTAAAAATGCAATAATATAACTTGGCCAATATCCAACCATGTTGGCCTCATGTTTGGTATGATGTGCGAAGTTCATGGGACATTTTATCTAAGAATAAAACAACATGTAAGACCAGTAATCGGCTCCTGGTAAGACCCAGTAATTCCTCTTGCTTTTTTTGTCGGGAATTTATAAAGACAGTCAAACAGTGGAAGTCGGAAGAGGTAGTTTCCTTGACCTGAGAAATTCCCTCCGGCGTATTGGAGGGACGTAGCATTCTCGTCCCCAGAGCCACTCGGCTTATTTTGTAACCGACCAACCACGTGACCAAGAAACGACGGGCTCTGGGGACGAGAATGGGGGCGTAGCGTCCTTTACGCAAATACGCATTTGCGTACTTGAGAAATTAGTAGGATTTTTTGTTTAAGACTTTCTGTTGTAAGTAAAAGCCATTTGTAGCGTCGTGACTTAACTTTGTGTTGGGCAGATTTGTTCCTGTCTGTCTCGTTGTTATTCTGCATCGTTTACAAAAGTTTGAGAAGTAGAATGTGATAAACTCGAAACATTCTTGAAATGTTTGCCCTTAGGCGATCCCATAATTCATTGCGTATTCATGAAAAACGGAAAAGAATCTACCCTGACTGATTATCATTCTTTTCAAGATTTATCTGGAAAGTTTTCCTATTTAAAAGCGTTTTAAATTTTTTTCGCTCTCTCTCTCTATAAATGTCGAAAAAGTCTGTCAATGACTACTTTAATGTCGCTCAACTGGGAAATCATAGACCAAACCATGGCGACGATAATCCACGTAAGCTGAAGAAAACTCTATTACGTGCACGTGTGGCGCCGTATCAACAAGAATTTTGCAAGAAATTTACTCCTAGCGAACTTATGTACTATTTTTTTCAAACACGCAAGACAATTTCTAACGGGAGCCCGAGAAAATAAATTTCAAATTTGACAGGAATTGAGAAAACACAGATGAAATCGTCATGTATAAGTTCATCTTATGCTGTGAAATTTGAGGCTTTTGAAGTTTGTTTTCCTTGGCTCCAATAAGAACCTTTTCATCGCAGTTATTTCATAGAACTTTATAGGGACTGTGAAGTAATTACTTGGAGGCGGAGGGAGTTGGAAAGTTAGAGTGGGGGTCATAGGAGAAAATGACAACAAGGCAGAGGGGGGGGGTTGGATGTAAAATTTAATACATGTAGGGGGAGAATTACTTTTTCATTCCTTTTTGCAAACTGGAAAAGTAGTGGAAAAGTTATTACATAGAGTTCAAATATAAATACTAACATTGGAATAAAATTTATCAACTCTAAGGTGTTTTGATCTATGAACTGTTGTTTTCCTACCTGTCATGCAGTAGGAAAGGAATGCCTCTGTTATATATGCTAAAACAATGCTACTTTATTTGCACTAGGATTTAATAAAAAGTAGCACTATAATGTTATTCAATGAACGGAAATGAGAAAGATGCCAATGTTAGCACATAAGGCATCATAATTTAGCGGAATGAAAAACCCAACTGTTGAAATTTTAATAGCAATACAAATTTAAAGTGTGGTAAATAAAACACGGTATGATTAAATTGAGCTGCAAATTAAATTGAGCTTTTCACCCACGCATGCGGGAACCTTAGTGCTAGAGATGCGGTAGAAGATGAAGAATCTCCCAATTCATGCCAAGACGACACAAGCTCAGAGTCCGGTGATTCTGGTGACTCTTCAGTCTCTTTGACATACGTCGAAGAGTCATTTGGAATGATGTTTGTACCGGAGGAAGAAATCCAACAAGTACTCACTAGGTATGAGGGAATCAATGGGAAGAGACTTATTTCCAATGGGGGGGGGGGGGGGGTAGCCTTAATTTAATCATTTTGTGGGGGGGGGTGGAAAAAAAGTTTTGCTTAATAGGGGGGGGGGTTTGACCTAGTTTTGGGGGTTATTTCCCCCATTTCCCAACCCCCCCCCCCCCCCCCCGTGCATTTTTCCCCTGTCCTCTTTTTGTTTTTTCCCCATATGTGTAACATCAAGTATGATATTTGTGAGTTATCATATGAGATAGAGTAGTGGAATTAGTATTGGTGTTGGTGCGGGGAGTAGTGGGATGATCTTTGATTTAGGTGAGTGGTAGGATAATAGATTTATTATTATGATAATTTGAGGGTTTTTTAAGATTGATTTTTGCTAATTGAGAGGGGGGGGATGACCTAGTTTTGGGGCATATTTCACCCATTTCCCAACCCCCCCTCCCCCCTCCAGGTAATTATTCCACGGTCCCTTATTAAATTTATAGCCATTGAAAAGTGTGAAAAAGAATGCAATATGCTTGAAATTATTCTGGTACAAGGCTTTTGTCCACCGAAAATTAAAATTAGTCAATTTCCTAGTGAATGTTAATTTTAAAACCCTTTGGGTCCGTGTGTGTACCGTATCAGAATGGTCACGCTACGCCACAGTATTCTGTAGATGGGAACATGAAAATGGATTGCGAATGCTGTTGAAGATAAAATGTGTCGGGGTTATTATAAGAACCAAGTCTAAGGCGTTTGTGTAACCCTTTTGCAGTAAGGAGGACATCCTTGGCCTCTACGTGAAATTCAACAATGTACACGTTAGTCGCGCGACCTGCAGTCGCGCGCGTGGTCTGGGTTAAAATCCCAGGTTGGATTGTATCGAGGCCAAGGCTAATTCATCCGAGAGAGGTTTCTTACTACTGGGGAAAATTCTAAGAAGTTAGTGAAATAGTAGGGCGGATTCAATTTGGGTTTTGTCATTTAGTTTTGTTATTTTGCAGTTACGAAAAAACATAAGCACATCAAGAAATATTTTGATAGGGTGTATGTATTAAGGAAATTAGCTTAACCAAATCACAGCGACCCCTGAACTCTATTAGGGACTTTAAAATCCAACGACGCGACAGCAACGAGAACGTCGTTAAAAAAGTGAATTTGATTTCTTACAGTCGTTATAGTGATTATTCCTACCCACTTACTTTGTTAAATATAGCTCCTGAAGGTGAATTTCAAGTGACCATATTCAAGCTCAGAAAGAGAAATAAAATTTCGTCGTTGCTTGTTTACGTCCTCCATAAAACGCGAATTCTGAGGCATTTTCACGTCGTAATCGTGCAAAAACGGGAAACAAATGTACAAAAAAGTGTGATGCACGTGCAAAGTTGCTGTTTTGCTTATTAAACCTATTGTTTGTTTTTTTTTGACGTTCTCATTGCCGTCCGCGTCGTTGGATCTTAAAGTCCCTATTATCTATTTGACGAGAACACAAGAGATTACTAGACTCTAAAAAGAACCAAGGCTAACTGAAACTTTATAGTAAATACTTGTGTTAGAACCGAATACTGCATGCAACTCGGATATAAAAATATTTTTTCGAAGTATCCAAAATCAATAGATAACACCATGGTATGAAATTGGCTGTCCCGCCTCTGACAAAAGCATCAAAGCTCTGGCCGGAAACGAGAATGGCATGTCGAATGGCATGAAACGAGTGCGGGAACGTGCGGCGGGAGCGAGAGCTCGCGGGTAATCTAGAAAGGTCCCCCTGGAATTGTGGGTAGCAGAGCGGGCAACCTAACACAATATGGCGGAAGAAGTGATGCAAAACACCGGGTGACTAATGTGTGCATACAACGATCATCGTTGTTTCCCTGTTCCCGGTTAAGAAATGGAACTTTTTCAGGCCCAAGATAACTTCATAATTCTGAATGGGCCGAACAGTTTGTGGTGTAATCGGCAAGATGGACGACTGCAACCACGCTATGGTGAGCTGATGGCGAACAACGGAAGCCTTTCCTGTGCTTGTTGTGGTGTTTTCTTTCTAATGAAGAAATTTTATCCTTCTTCTGTTATAGGCGTTGACCTTGGCGAAGCATGGTCCTTGAAATGTCGTGGAATTGTTTACGGGATCATTGGAAAAATCCAGTTTTTTCCAGGTAGACAGTCGGTGATCAGTGATGCGTTAGTTTAGGGTTTTCGCTAGAAAATATCCACCCTTCATAACTTTTTCACAGCTATTTTTAACTCTTCCTCTTGCTACAATATTCAGAAATTCTAAAATCGTGCTATTTATTTTTTTAAAATCTAAAGTAAACCCAGTTTATATAAGAAATTTATAAGCTTAATCGGAGCTTACTTAAAATTTCAAACGATTCAGATATTTTTTGACAATGTTTGATGGCGAATTAAGCTTCTGCGTTTTTTTTACTTTTTCAAATTATAGCTAAGCTTTCAGTTCTATACCAGATCGTAGAGAATTAGGTGAAAAACACAATAATAGTGTCGTGAACGTGCCTTAAATTATTTCTCACACAGGAAATTATTCGGTACGATCGACGGGCGAAGACGGGCTTATGAATGGTGCTTGCGGTGTTTATTTACTAATGATCGAGATGCAATTTACATCTCGTTGACAAAAGCTGGTGATTTGCAAGCCTCTGCTGTATGCTGTTCACATTTGTTCAGTTTCATTTTTTTCTCGCAAGCATTTTTTCGAATAATTGTAATACCCGGGTGCGGGAGGCTATAATTTATTTTTTCAGTCGCTGTGTGTTTAAAATATTTTCCCGGCGTTTGGTGCCATTAATTTTTATTAAGCTTTTGTTAATGCAAATCGGCATATTTTCACTGAAATTTGAAAACTTTCTGTAGCAATGCGCATTTTACTTAAGCATGTTCAAGTGCACATTGTACAGTCTCCAATTAACGACCTTCGTTGGAGAGAGTATAATTTGAGGTCTGAAACTTTATATATTGCTGTGACAATTGTGTGAAAGGAAGGAGAACATCGTTTTGGCTTTAGCTAAGAAAGTTATTTTTTATGTTTGTTCACGTGCTTGTAACCTAACCTTTTTTGCACTGATACTAAAATAATACCTTGACCTCGGTTAAAAATCAAATAAATTTGTTAGGTTGTGAGTTCTCAGGGCAGGGTAGGGCATTTGCCTTCAAACGTCTGTCGGGGGTGGGATGTGAATGCCATAGTTGAGTTTCACATTTTCTGCTGCTGTTAAAAAGCAAAAGATATGGCATACTTTGTAAAGGAAATGAGTTAACTTTATTGCAGCATGATAAGAGAAATAAACAGTGCTGTTACTTAAACAGTAAGAAAACTAAAAATATATATATATGCAAATAATTTTTAGAATTACAAATCACAAAAAACAGAGACTGGCACACAATAAAGTTTCCATCTATCTACAAGTGCATTGGTTCTTCAAACCGAAGATTCTGTCGTTTCATTGTTACACATTTAAATAACGAATGATAGTGGGAGTATCATATTTGTTGATCACAATCACAGTGTAGAACACTATCATCTCTACTTACATGTATATGATGTCTTTTCTCTTTCTTATTATTTTTTTTTTCACATTTAGTGTGTTTAACTTGTGTGTAGTTCATTGTTGGTTTTTCTGTATATGCCAAGCACTTTGACCATTAAAGGGACTAATAGCCTGGGACCAGGCTCCGCAGTGAAGGAAAAAGGGAAAAAATGAGGTCAAATAGGAAAAATATCGGCAAGTGAAGGGAGCCGAGCAGTGGATTGGGGAGGAGGGAAGGGTGCCTTTTATGCCACCGATCCACCCTCCAGCAATTATCGTGTCAACACATCAAATTCTCATCACAGATTTCAGCGTGAGTTTATTATGTTGCTTCTGTAAAAAAATATTTGAATTCAGCATGAAGTAAGAGTGCAAGTAAAGAGATCTACTTAACTTCGATTGCCAACTGGACAAACACCAGCTTCGGTGAAGAGAAATAAAGACATTTCAGAGGAAAATGCACCACATGCAAGCAGTGAACAGCCAAATTGGTTCCTCAGGAGATCCCACATGTTCGCAGTTCGCATCATAATGCTTGTTGACATAGCTTCTTACAATGTAGCAAACAAAATATTGCTATTGGTAGAGTTTATATTCTGTGAAGGAAAGATGTGTACCTTCAGCACCTTATGCGACAGACGATTCAGTTTGAGTGTACTGTATTCCTGTTGAATTTGTTGTCCGTTTTATAAGGCATGTCTGCTCAAAATCATGTACAAGTCAGTAATAACCATTTTCCCTGATTTTCCTCAACCACTGTTATCTTTGTCAGCCTGCGAGCAGAGGTTTGTCTCTTGCATACATAGCTTTTAGCGTTTACGAAGTTGTCTGCATCGTTTGTCATTTACGTATTTGGTTTGTTAACTGGACTGACAAATTAATGCGAATGACTTCGTAGATGCTAGCTAAAGCCATGCAAAAGAGAAATAACTGCTCGCTCCACACATTTGTGTTTTACATGTTCTCGGACCTCAGGGCTTAGCTGTATGCAGCACGCATTCTTTGCATATGTCCACTGATTTCTGGGTTTTATCCCGCTTTTGGTAGGAGCATGATTATAATGCTGTGCCTTTTGAACGTTGGTTTGTGTAAGTCAATCGCTTTGTAAATGTGATTTATCACAGGAGAGTATAAGGAAAGCTTGATTTTTTTAATGCTTCTTATTCTTTTTGCAACAGATCACAGGCATATTTTTTTCTCTTCTTGGAGGCGAGAGTATAAGCGAAAATTCTCACCAAGAAGTTTTTGTTGCTTGCTAGAAATCCTATTTTAAAAATCTTTTCCCGAATTGTAAGAGCAAGATATTGAAAGAGCGCGATACTGCTGTCAACAGAAGACATCAGAGCGTGATACCAGAATCTGGTATCATGGAACGGCGACATCAAAGGCATGTCTCCAGGCTCTGCCACCCTTTCCACTCCCCAGACTCTTGGCTCGCTTCGCTGGCAGATTTTTTTTGCCCACACCGGTATTTTTCTCCTTATCACCCAATGCAGAGCCTGGTCCCAGGCTAAGAGACTAATAGCTTAGTACTGTAACTAGACCATTTCCAAGTTTCCAATCGGGGCAGTGGAAAATACAGACTGCGGACTGACTGTGGACTATTGTTGTTAGGGTTAGAAAAAAGTGGGACTATTGTTGTCACATTCTTATTGGCATGGTGAAAAAAATAGTCTGCAGTCTGCGTTTTACACTGACCAGTCGCTAATCCTGGTAATTCTCAAATTCCCTCACATTCAAAATGAAGCCAAGCACAAAACCCTTCAAGTGAAAATAGTGAGTTTTATCTGCATAAGAATTAAAAATCGTTTTTATATCAAAGGCTTATCACCCATCCTCATTTAAAACACTGAGACTTGAGGCAACTTAGAAATGGGCTATTCTAAGATTTTTAAAGATGAAAGTATAAAATGAATGCAGAAAAACAAGTTATATTTTGGTGCCTTTTTTAAGCTCCATGTCAGAGTTAATTATTGTAAATTTGCTGGCCCTAACGTGGGGGAGAGGAAACATTTTGGTACAGGGGAAGGGATGGAGGCACTTGGAATTGAAGGAACCATACATTAAATTAAATTTTAATTTCTGCTGTCAAAATGGTGGGACCTTACCATTCAAATAAAATGTGGAATAATAAATTTTATTGGTGGTACTTAAGCTTGGTGCCATTTTACAAAATGAATTATGATTTTTTTTTTCATGAGTTTTCTTAACCTTCAGGTGCAGACTCACGATTGTTAGTGATATCAAAGAGGACCCTTCTTGGCTGTTTGCCTGGTGGGCATGAAGTTTACAGGATTGACCGAGTGGCAGTATTGACGCTATCATCTAATGAATCACCAGAATTTGAACTTGATGTAAGTTGGTATATATCACCTGCATGTGGTGTTATTAACTTTTTACTTTCCATAAATAGCTCACTAGACTTTTTTCTTTAAAAAAAATGACTGAAATATGTCTTAAGTGTGAAACAAACATCCTTAGAGATGAGGAGAGAGGCAAGAAGAAAGAAAAAATTCCAGGAGTGCACCTTCACTTGAGAAAGACTCCGAGGAAGCAAAGGATATGTTGAATCAGGAAGACAGGGATGCTGTAAAGACCAACTTTCTCCTCCTACAGAAGCGAAGTATCAGAACTGAGTTAGAGTTTAAGATCTTCTAACTGATCCTTCTGAAAAGGATAACGTTAAGGAACTAAAAGAGGACGGTGTTAGGCAGCTTGGCGAACAACAGCACAGAAGAGAAAAACCACACTCAAAGAAACTTCAAGCCCTGTCTAGCCAGATGCGCGCTTCATGTTAACACCACCAAGAAGTCACTTTCATTGAACTTTGACATTTGATCCAAAAAACGTATTTCTTATGTTCAAAAATCAAATTAATATGAAGGATTTTCGGAGTAAAATACCCACTGACAAATTATGTGATAACAATATGAAAAGATATATAATTTAATGTTAGTAGCAAAATTTACAGGAATTGCTTGTTTATTTCCAAAATTATATGTATGTTAAGTCTATTCAATTTCACAGTTTATAAAGTATTTATTGATTGTCTTGTAATTCAGACCACGGTATTTGGTCAAGAGGACTGTTATTTGCATTTTTTTTCCCATTCGCCTGTTATTAACCGAGCTCTTTTTTGGTCTGAAATAAGTCCTGAAATAGGTAAAACCTTTTCATCCACGCATGCACAATAAAACATGAACCAGAATCATCTACCATGTTTTACTAAAGAGCCTTTAAAGATGTCTTGTCCACATCACCCCCCCTCTCCACCACCACCATTCAGGAGCACCCTACGACGGTTTCTTCCTACATACATTGGAAACACTTTTCAGGCTATCCTGGGTACTTTTAGATCCGATCTAGAGTCTAGAAATGCATTCTAAGTGGCGCTATAAAGTTTTCACATCTGTTCGGTCATCCTGGGGAAACTTGATTCTTTTCGAAATTACAAGGTCTTCACTATTATTTTTCCGAAAATTTTAGATCAATTTAACGTATTACGAAAGTAAGAATTTTTCTGATTCCTCTCTTCGTCACACTTTGAATCCGAAATTTTTGGTTTCCTTTTTTCTAGGAAAAAAAGCTTAACCTTGGGGGTGAAATGTGAAAAATTAAACTTCAGAAAATTGTAGAGAATTTATTGGATGAGCTTCGAAAATTGTACATGAATAGAACGGTTATTGAAAAATTTTTAGCCGTCCTCAACTAATAGAAAATTTCTAAATTTGCTTTAAATTCTGCATTTTGGAACAAATTATAGCCTTGTATTGTTCATATGTATTTCTTCTATAAATAACAAAAGATCGTTGCTCAGATTTCAATCAACAACGGCCCCCACTAACAGAGGGTGGTCTGCCTGTGGTAAAATGATCAGGGAGGAATGAAGGTTTTGAAGGCAAGAAATGAAGGGGAAGACCAAAACGTCCGTATAAAGCAGCTAAACAGTTTTAAAGGAGGCTATAGATATAAAAAAAAAAGGAGACTCAACGAGAAAGCTCTCACACTAGTTAGCAAGCCAAGTCCAGATTTAGGGTCATGAAAAGCTGTTTAAAATGTTTAAAATTAGAGGCCCCTGAGTTGGTTAAAAAGACCTCTGCTTAGTCTGCCAAGTAACGCCCAGCTCGTCTCAAATTTGTAGAGAAGTACAAAATCTTTCTGTGGAAGGAGGCAGGGATGATTATCTTTTTTGGATGAGTGCCCCAAATTTTTTTTTTTTTCCAGCTGCCTAAACTAAACAAATATTGTTTGGGGGTTGAACTGGCCCTTGCACACCACGTGATAGAAAAGCTCAAAATGGATCATCTGGGGTCTACAAGCTGTATCCCACTTCATTCAGCAACATCTACAGAATGTGATTAAAAAAACAAAAAGGGCATGCCAGTAACTGAAATTCTGAATACATGTACTCAATGGAGAAATAAACATCTTCCAGCAATTTCATGTAAAAATATAGTTTTGATCAAAAGTTATGGTGCATGAATTTAGAGGAACCAACTTTTGTGACACCCTGTAATCTAGTTTAGGTATTCCATTGTTTACTACATGTATGTAATTTAAAAACAATAACCATAAATTAAACAGCTTTGGTTGTATTGAACTTGTGGAAAAAATGTTTTTAGCTCTATAAGGTCAAAGAAAAAGTCAAAGCCAATTGAAAAGAGATTAAAGTTCATTGAAACCTTTGTAAATATTTTGATATCATAATGGTGGCTTTTCTCTGGTATTTTCTGGGGTATTCTCAGCCATGTTTCAGCAGCTTCTTGCAGCTTAGAGACACAACAGTTTTCATATGATATGAGAACTGTGCTCTTCTAAAAATGTCAGGCAGAGTCAACCTCCCATACCAGGCCTTTGCATTCTTCAAGATAGTTCCAAGTACACCAATCACAATGGTTTTTACAATAACTGTCACTCTCGTGGCTCTGTGGATTCTTTTGATTTTGTTATTATTATCATTATTATTATTATTATTATTATTATTATTAAATTATTATTATTATCAGGGTTTAAGCCAGGCCGCACCATTGCGCCAATCCCGCACTGCAATTGAAATTGTCCCTTAAAAAAACGGCCAAGGGGACAGTTTGTAACCCCTCAAAATTTAGGGAAAAAACTTGAAAGGAAGCACACGTGAGTGAAGAGATTTAGTTCAGTACAGAATTATTGCAAGCTAAAACAGAATGTGGAAAGTATATTTTATCGCACGTTTAAAGTTCATCCTAAAGTCACATTTCAGTCACGCCCTACTGAACACGTACATCTCATGCTCAACCAAGCGTGGTGAATGCACCTGGCAATCTTTAACATGTCGCATCGAAAACGTTTTCGAACATTAGAAAGCTTTTTCGCTCCAAATCAAAGCCAGAGTGAATCAGAGAAACATGATACAGAAGAAGAACAGTGTATTAATCAGGAAGAAATGGATGAGGATCGAAGGAAACCGAAAAAATCACTAACTTTCCAGAAAACTTGGTTGCGAGATCACACGTGTGCTATGAAAAGGAGGCGTACGTCTGCCAGTAATTAAGAAAGGAATTGAAGTTTACAAGGGAATGCCGGGACAAGATTCTGCTGTGAAATGTTTTGAAGTATAAAGCATTGTAGTCATTGATCCTCTGTTTAAATATGACGAGAAAAAAAGTCTCGACACCAATAACTTAACTTTTCTTGTTTGTATCACTTTTCTTGTATTACAAGGATCAGGTAAAAAAAATGTTTTTGTTAGCTTGCCTGTATGAACATAAAAAAAATGTTGAATAAAAATTAATTTGTCTGTCCCCCCTAAAATAAAAATGTCCCCCAAAAGTTTAGCCAAGGGGACAAATTGTCCCCCAGTGATCAAATCCTAGCTCAAACCCTGATTATTATTGTTATTATTATTATTCTGTGGTTAGCTTTGTGAACAGCACCAGAGAGGAAGTGGCCTGGGAGGGATAGACAATCAACAGAGGGGACTGGGACAAACATGGACCAAAATAAAGACTGCAGCTTCCACCTTGAAAGAAAAGGTATTTGCAACCACAGTCGTCTGTAGGTCTAATTTTGTAAATTTTGCATCTGCCCTTAATCCTGGACGTACATGTTGAGTGAAATTGTCAAAACTGTTTTGTGCCTAGTAAATTCATGTACTTAGCTTTCAGTTTGAAGAGTTTCATCTTTGAATTTAACCAAAGAATTAAAAAACACCTTGCTTACCGTCACTTAATATGTTAAAGAATTGTTGTAAAAAGTAAGCTATGCAGTGCAAATACAGTGTTATTAGAAAAAATGTAATTTTGTTGTAAAATTATATTCTTACATTGTCTCATTTTTATAGAACATTAAGGACAAAGACTTGAAAGACAAAGAAAAATTGGAGAGGAGATTTGTTGAGGTTAGCATACTTGCCTAATTTCAGTAATGATTATATTGCAAAAAGTGTTATAATTTTGTCACTAATAACAGAGTGATGTAAAATAATCCTGTTTCTTTAATGAAGGAGTTGCTGAAGATGTTCAATGACTCCGATTCATTTTTCTACTCACCAACTGGAGATCTCACCAATACCTTACAAAGACAGTTTAGTGGAAAATATAATGCAGAAGATCCACTTTGGAAAAGGGTGAGCATTTTTTGTTCTTAAATTTTTTGTGTGTTTTGATTCAGATGTCACCTATTGAAAATAAAAAGCTCAACAACAAACATTGATGAAAACTGCAATACATAGAAACAAAAAATATGTATAATGTTAAAAATTAAAACATTTGTGATCAAATACATTGTACTGCAGATTTAAAAATTAAAAGGGTAAATTTGCCTATCCTTCCCTAGTTTTCAAGAGATCTTACATTTGACATTCTTGACTTCGCAGGTGATTTGATTGTCATCCTTCTCCTCTTTAAGCTGATAAGAATGTGCCTATACTTACATGCGTAAACACATATCCCAAGCAATTTTTCTCAGAGAGTGGTTCATGAAGTTGGTCATAGAATAGAGTGTCCTTTCCTGTATCTTCTCCTAATTAATTTCCTTTTTTCTTCTAGCCTTACCCTGCCCTTTTTGATATGTTATCCCTTAGTGGTCAGAGCTTTCCTAACAGTATTATAAAACCATTGTAATATCTGCTTTCCAGATTTTCTCAAGAGAACTTTTTTATCATACTCTAGAATCTTTACCATTTTTTTATACTCCAGAATATTGAGTTTAACAGTTTATAGATTGTCATCACTAACAATAGTTGACATTTTTTTTCCCAGTGCGACAAGAGGTTTTTCTGGAATGAGTGTATGGTGAAGGAGCTGTTGACCAGTGAGGTGAGTCTTTTTAGTGAACTTTTTCAGGTAAGTGTGGTTTGTAGTGTGAGTGAAGAAATGGGACCTGCCTGCCTGCCTTACTTTTTTTTTTAGACCTAATTTAGGGTTGTGGTGGTGAAGCAATAAACCATCACATGAAAACTCTGATTTGAAACCTTTTCAGTGTTTGCTCTACACTTGTCTGTGGATTTACACTGTTCTGTGCATATTGATGTAAACTTTAATTGGCTTAAATGCATAAATAAATAAAAAACCAAGATACATGTAGGGTAGCACATAAATGTAGAAGTTGGTTGGTCAAGGTTCAAATTTTACTGTTACTCATGTCTTTCACTTCCCATACATAATTTGTCTAATTCATTTACGCACATAAAGTCAGTTAAAGTTTATGTCCATATGCACATAAAATTTAGGCTTCACAGGGTGCGAAGAAAGTCAGTTTCACAGCCTGCCATTCGGGCAAGCTGTAATTAGCATCTACTAGCCCACAAGTCATTTCAACTAGCCCCAAAACCCTTTTTGGTCAGCAGGATTGATTACAATCCTTCTGTAATTTGAATTTCCCAAAAAAAACAGCACTTGCCCGTCAGGCAAGTTAAGAAAAATCACTAACCCGACTGCAAAATCCACTAGCCCCGGACTATTGGACACGACTTTCTTTGCACACTGGCTTCAGTGGAAATCCATCTTAAGAGAAAAGTACGCTGGTCCTCCAGTTTAGGCTGGGGCTGATAACCCTCGGAAAGGGGGGGCGGGGTACTCTCTTATAATGGCCCATAAGGGGAGGCTCTGCTTAAAAAGGGGCACACGTACCTTTTTCAGGCCTCAGATATAATTATGAAAGGCAACGTGCAAAGAAAAGTAGTGTCCGATAGCCCGGGGCTAGTGGATTTTGCTATCGGGCTAGTGAATTCTGTTTTTAACTTGCCTGACAGGCAAGTGATGTTTTTCGAGGAATTCGAATAACAGAAGAACTGTGAAATCAATTCTGCTCGTCAAAAAGCTTTTGGGGCTAGTTGAAATAACGTCTGGGCTCGTAAATGCTAGCTTCAGCTTGCCCGAATGGCAAGCTGTAAAAATGAGTTTGTTTGCACCCTGAAAGGGTAGGGATTTCACTAGAAGAAGTATAAAAATCAATGCGGGAAATCTGTCATTTCCATTTGTGAAAAGACCTAAGAGGGCTAACAGAAGATAATGGCTGTGGAATAGTCGAGATAATTTCCTGGTTTTGTTATTTTTCTCATAGTTTAAAGATAGCGCATTTACAGCTGTTAAACTTGAAGCAACATTCTAAAGTAGATATGTGAAAGGGGTACCATTCGTCGATGAACGCGGTCATTCAAAAAGTGTACCTTTTTTATCAAGAATGGTGTATACAAGGGTCAGAGATTGGATCTTGGGGTGGAGCCTCCCCATCTAAAACTTTGTTGAGTATCCCTAACCAGGATAACAGAAACCATAGAAAATTCACAGACCCTCCTTTGTAGAGTAGAGGCCAAGACATGTTGGAGCCAAGGCCAACAAAACCCCTTGTGCTAACCAGGACATTAGGACACCGAGAACACCTTTTGAAAAAAAACTAAGCACGGCTAGTCAAAAGTTTTTACGGTTGAATATTTTAAATTTGAATTTTTGTAGGCAGGATAAACAGAATAGCAGGCAGAAAAGCAGAAAAGGCCTAATCTTGTGTGGTTTTTGTTTTTTATTATTTAACTTAACTGTTGAGAAGACGGCAAATATTCCACTGAAAGCAGCAAAATTTACGGCTGCTGGGTTACGACTGGACTGAAAGTTGACCATCCTGGAATGACTTGGTGTAGGCAGGAAGAGTGAATAACGCAACGTGGCGACCAGGAACATTTTTCCAGTTCTTCTGTCACTTTTTGCGCCGATTATTAGAACAATGATATCGGCAAACGTCTTCCAAACAACCAGCTATCATTGACCAAAATTAGTTATGAAATTTGGTCAATGGTAGCTGGTTGTGACGAATTGGTCAGGGGATTTTAGTCAATCAGGAACCGGAAAATATTTTGAATGACTATTGTTAGGCCATTTTCGGGTTCCAAAACTCTCACTTTCAAAACGAGGCTAAGTGCAAAACTTTTCATTTGAAAATGAGTTTCATTGCATGAGAATTCAAAATCATTTTCATATCGAAGGCTTTACAGTCACTTAGCCTAGCTTTGAAACAGAGGCTTGGCGTAACTGAAGTTTCTCTTGAGGCCATTTTAACTCCCAAGAGAAACTGAAGACAATGCTTATCCAAAATTTTGGGGTGACAAACAGAGAGCATTATGGTATGTTATAGTATTTTCTGGAGTGGTCAACTCTCCGACTATCCGTAACAGAGGCAATTAATTCTTACTTACGTAGGACCCGAATTCCTGCAGTTGGGTTATCCCCGTTATTCAAGGCTATTGTAAAATAGCACATTGTGTAAACACATTTGAAGATGAGGATGTAGAGGAAGCTGAGAACAGGAGAAGTGTACCTTTCCCCCCTGAAGAGTTTGATTTGGTTCTTATATCCAGGAGGAGCATACACCGGGCTGGTAAGAAAGAACACTGTGCAAAATAAACAAATTTATTTTGATTAGTAGATCTTTCTTTTGATTTGATCCGTCTTTTCGTCTTCTTACAAACCAATTGGAGAGGAGTCTTAAACACTTTCCATTTTTACTTAAGGGACTCGTTACAGAAGGCGTGGTGTTGATGAAAATGGAGATGTAGCAAATTATGTGGAAACAGAACAGGTTTGTAAAAATGTAACTTTGACGAAAAAGAGTACAACTTCTAGCGGTTGTTTCAAATGATACATTATTTGCAGTGAAGATTCAACAGAGACACTTAGATTTTAGTAACGTTTACAGGCATCAAACTCAATTTGTATCGCGTGACCAACTTTCTTTTTTCGTTTAATCTTTATTACATTTAAAGAAAAAGAGGCAGTATTATACCGGTTTCATTTATAAGAGTTATTTTGCATGGACCGTTTTTAGAAATTGTCGTAAACGTGATTTTAATTTCTTTGGACTTACCTTCAGATCAGACTACAACGCTTGGCGGCATTCAATTTTTTATATAACCTTCAGCAAGGAAATACGACCTCATTAATTATTGTTAAATAGGATTTAGGTGGGTGTGAGAACTTCTCATTCCGTACATGACAAATCAGCCGTCAACGCTCGTTTTAACCGACAACTTCGAAACCGCAAGGCCAAAAGTTGTAAGGCTGAATGAATAAGTCGAATTGTTGAATAGTGAAAGGAAAATTGAAAAAGACAAAAAACGGATCCATGAAACTAAATGGTGCTCAATGACCATGGTGCTAAATGGCAATTCGTCATATACCGCTAAGAGGATCGTGTCTTGCGCTTCAGGAATCGGGTAGCGCCCTACGAGAAGCGTAGCGCGTAGCGCGTGCGTCTCGCATAAGGGTAGTTCTCATATTCGTTGGAAAACCATATGAAAAAAAATTCCCGGATGAGGGCCGTACTTGTGAAGTGACAGGGCGGGAAAAACGTTTACGGTCCTGCTAGAAAAGCGTACTGACCGATCCGGGTTCACTCCGTCAGAAAAATTCAAAAACACTACGGTCATATGATAAAATGCTGCGCTGGGTCCGTACATCCTGACCTTGAGCCAAATATTTTCCCGTACAGCCCTCCTACTCAAATAATAAGTACAGATAACTTACTCGAGCGGTACTGTAGCCTGCGTGGCAGATATTTTAAGGGAAGGGAAAGGAAGAGTTAAGGCGTGCTAGATCGTGATAGGCGCGCGAAGAGGAAGATACCCCCATCCTTTATTCCCTGTTTCGCTTGCTCTTCATACGCCTGGCCTTCCACACTACCTACATGTTATAGCGACAGTTACAATAAAACTGTGATGTTCGGGGCCGAAAAGAGTTTCCGTAAGTACGTAATAACAAGAGTTCGTTATAAAGGGAATTTGTTTGGGCCAAGCATCTGAAAGTATAATTATTATTTCGAGGTATCAGCCGAGAAGATTAACAGTCTTAATTTTTGTTGGTTTTACGTAACAGGTTTAACAAGTAGTTACTTTTGATGCTGTTATTTGTTTATCCTCTTAAGTTCAAGTACGAGCAATTTTTGGTGTTGATTTGCAGATCATTTGTACTTCAACACACAATGTGTCATTTGTACAAGTCAGAGGTTCAGTGCCTGTTTACTGGAGTCAGCCTGGTTACAAATATCGGCCTCCTCCAAGATTGGACAGGGGTAAATTTGAACTAAAAACACCATTTACAAAAGAACATAATGGTTCTTTTCTTTAGTTTCATGATAAAATGTCCAACAATCTTCAGTGGTGCATTAATGATAGCGAGAAGACGTTGGCAACGAATACACAATCTTGATGTACCTTCCTTGTATTTTGTGACAACTTAATCTAGAACTGAAATTTGTCCGTGTGAAATTGTAATTGTACAGGTATTATATTCATGGACATGTTTTTATCCTACTTAGATGAAAACGAGACTCAGATGGCTTTCAGGAAACACTTTGATGACCAACTGGAGCTTTATAAAACTGTGGTTAGTAGTTTAAGTTGTTGTTATTTACTTGAATTCTTGTAGTTTACCTGACACGTTCGCCTCGCTACATATACTATTCAGAATGAATTTTTGTGTTTGTGTATCGGTCTTGATTCTAATTTTTTTTCCTCAGGCTGTGATAAGCTTAGTTGATCAAACAGGCAGAGAAAAGGTAAAACTGCATGTGGACGACTAATTCAGCGATTAAACACCATTGTAACTGGTATATCCTGCTAATAAATGGGTCCCTGCTTTTAGAGTAACTTTATAGGAAGAAATGTTGGAAATAAACTTAACCATTAGGGCATTTAACATTTGAAGGATTAGTGCCCTAGCGTTTGAGAGAACGTGAGCCTGAGGTTCACTTTGTTTTGGTGGAAACCTCTTTCCCGCTTTACTCGTATATTACAGAGTTTTTAGTGAGCACCTGGGTTTTTATTCGAGTTAATAGAGACGTTTAGAATCGAGGACGAGAACGACGACGAGTACGAGATTTAATTTGAAGATTTTTCGCACACTGTCAAATAATAGACACTCAGAAAAGCTTGATTGCGCTTTTTTTCATCAGAAAAGTTAGCACTGTTTTCTTTTTTGGAGGAGGTTAAGCCCTCTCCCGATCGGAAAATGATAAAGCTTCTAACATTGATAACCTGTTCCCGCCACTACGACATTCTCGCTAAAACTCGGAGTAGAATGACGACGCGTATCGCGTTTTCCCGGCGAAATGACGCTGATTCACGCGAGAGCACTACTTACTATTGAAAAAATCTGGTACTCGTAGTCGATCTCGTCTTAGAATCTAAAGGTCTGTACTACGATATTGGAGTTCACACGCTTCAAAATCGATCATAATGACTTACAAAAGCTTTCCCGGGTGAAATCAAATTACAAAAATGAACGTAGTTGAATTCTAAAATTTCACCTCTTTCAAGCCGTGTGGTGACGTTGGTGATCTGATGGTTAGTTCTAAGACTATCTACCTTTTTTAGCGCGACAAAAGAAAACAAATCTTTTGGGACTATATTTGCACGTCCATTACCACAACAATCTTTCATTCTCAGCCTGTTTTATTTTCATTATTATTAATTATTGTTGTTTTTCCTAGATCATAAGTGATGTTTTCATGGACAATATCCTTGCCTATAACAGTCCTTTTCTTACCTATATCACGTTTGATTTTCATGAGTACTGGTAAGTAACTTATCAAACAGAGGACGGTCTTTTAATAGTTAATATAGTAGCAGAGCGTTTTTTTTTTTTTCAAGCTCAAGGCACATCTGATAATGGTTTTAGACGTTGATATCAAGATATCAAGCACGAGGCACAGTGTATTATCAGGTATCATAAATCGAAAAAAGATTTGAAAGTACGACGCGTAGCGGAGTATTTGGCAAACTTTTTGTTGTTGTTGTTGTTGTTTTTTTTGTGATGCGGCCAAATCCATTAGTTAATAGTCACATTGTGAACCCTCGTTAGAAACTCTCTGTCGCTGCAAAGCGGCTCTTTAGCTTTTGAAGTGTCACATTTCAGCGTAAAACTCACCAGGAAGTAAAATAAGGTTAGAATCTTTGAACTAACTGGTTTTTGTTCTTACAGCCGTGGCATGAAATTTGAGAATGTTTCGGTACTGGTGGAGAGCATCCTTGAAGTTATAAAGGAAGTGAGATATTGCTGGTGAGTTTCTTATAATTGGGGCCCAGTTGTTCGAAGGCTGATTAGCGCTAACCCAGGGTAAAATTTTAACCCGGGTTTCTTTTTGCTTTGATCAAAATCATTTTCCCGTAGCCTGTGTACAGACGTCCCCCCTCCCTCAGAAAAGATCACGTCTCTTCTCCCGATTTTTTCTGACGGAGGGGGGACGTCTGTACACAGGCTATTTCCCGGGGTAATTTTCTCTATTCTTTTTAGAAAATGCAATCATCAAATCGTAGACAAAAAGAATTAAAAAAATTAATTTGATTTGTAAGCTTTCATATCTGAATTCAAATTTCGAACTAACGCTGTGTTATCTTAACCCTGCTTGGAACAAACCGACCCGGGAGCATAAGAACTAGCTTGAAAGTATGCGGTCGAAACAAATGCGAAAAAAGAGATCTTTCCATGGAAAGGATCACCCTACACTGAAATTATGAAATTCACAAGTACAGTTTCTCTGTCCTGGAGTCCAGTAGGTACATGTATGAACATTTTGTTAATTTTGCGAGGCCCCCACAGTTTCGTGCTGTTTACAACAATCTAATATACTTATCTCGCGTATCTTCTCCATATTATTTTCGTAATGCTTGGCAGAGGCTCTTGTCGGGCAATTGTTTCTCGTGTAAATGTTTTGATGATACTCCCTAGCAATGGCTTCCTCTGCATGCTAGTTCCCGTTTATCACCGGGTAGTCTGTCCTGTACGCGTTTTTCTTTTAATTCGCACGCGTGCTGTACGATCTTTAACGAAAAAGCAGGTGTCTGAATACACCGACTAGTGTAATACCGAGTATTGCATCTTGTCTTTATCCCTCTTTGTCTTTAAGGACGGATGCCAAGGGAATAATCTGTGATCAGCGAGGCGTGTTCCGTGTTAACTGTATGGATTGTTTGGATAGAACAAATGTTGTGCAAGCAGCTTTAGCACGACACATTATGGAGCAACAGGTAACCATGGTGTAAATAAATAATCCGGAAAGGGCACAACTAACGCCCCTTTTGTTAAGTGATTTATCCGGTTTGTAGCCCTGTCAAGCTTTTAAACAACTGGGGACCTGAATGATTGTTTTTGTAATTATCCGTAGCTAAAGAAACTAGGCAAGCAGCTCCCAGATCAAATCCTCCCCTCATCTATCAGGACGGCATTTCAGGAAATGTGGGCCAGTAACGGGGATGCCATCAGTCGACAGTACGCTGGTACTGCAGCGATGAAGGTACAGACTTAATTGTCTTGTTTAATAGCATATGTCTGATACGTGTTTATCACCAACGTACACTCACAAGGTCCAGATATTCTACTGGGCCCAGTTGGCCGAAGGCCGATTACCTCAAAATAAATCCGGGTTTCTTTTTCTTTATTCAAAAGCATCTTACCAGAAAATTTTCGCTATTCTTTTCATAGCGTCCAAACAAATTCAGTGAATTTGCCTTTTAATCTTTCAAATCTGAATTTTCAATTTCGTACTAACCCATGGTTATCTACACCCAGATTTGTACAGTCCAGCCCTTTTAAGCGTAGCAAGCGTTTCCGTGCGGTTTCGGAGAAAAGAACGAGGAACGAGAAAAGACCGCGCGAAAAATGGCACTAGTAAAAGAGCGGGGAGGGCGTGGGGAAGAAAGGAAAGGAAACGCTCCCCTCCCACTCCCCCCTCTTTTTTTTCGGCTCTCGTTCCATTTCTCGCGCGGCCAAAACCGAAAATCCTGTTTTTTCCAAACGAAAATGCTTGCTACGCAAGCTAAAGTTTTACAATCAGAGAGGGTTCTGTGTTCTATTTACATCATGGCAGTCTAATATCTGATCCAGTTATCACCAATATATGCCACTTGAATTGCCCGTTGCTTTAACTCCATGTAGGACCCGGATTTTTCTTAGGCGATGTATGTTGTTGCCGCCCTATCTGGTCTTACATGATAAATGTTTCCTGGTTTCTAGGGAGACTTCACCAGAACCGGAGAGAGAAGGTTTACAGGTGTGATGAAGGATGGTTACAACTCCGCTAACAGGTTTGCTTTCTTACTTTGGGGATATTCATCTTTTTCTAATGATGAATGTATAAATGTCATATATTATAAATTATAATATTTCGTCTTTCCCGGGTATATTACGAGCCAATGAATTTAATGACCAGCTCCCACTTGGCTTATAATTCCGGCTTCCTTTTCGAAACTGCATAAGTAATGATCTTCTCGTCATTTATTTATTCGTCTAATAAGCGTTATTATGTATATTCCACAGTGGCTTCTAATTGTGTAACTCACTATCTGCAATACATGTACTCTGTTTATTGTTTTTAAGCGTGTTGCTTTCTCTTTGTGGCTCTGCAAAAAATGTAGCATTCGTTATATTGAAGGTGGACTGAGATAACAATAAAGCATTTCTCTTTTTTGTTGTAGATATTACCTAAACAGATTCAAGGCTGCTTACAGGCAAACGCTGATTGGTGAGTTTCTTTTGACTGTCCATAAAAGCCCACAACGGGACTAAGTGTAGTCGGGCGTAGTGACCACTGGAAAAGCTGAGTTGAATTGGTGTTTAATACCAGTGTGTTTGCTTTTTTGTTGTAGACGTCATGCTTGGAAACCCAGTATCTGAGGACATAGCAGCGCTGATGGCAGCCATGAGAAACGGCCCTGAAGAGGAACAATGGACAATGGAAAGAGAGGAGTGCGTGGCTCAGCTGGTACAGCACTGCAAACAACTGCTTCTTACTGATGAGGAGGAATGCATTAATGGATGGGCTTTGGTTGATCCATTTTACAGGTAGAACATTTAAGGTTACCACTATTAATCATTCAAGTGATCCTCAGACCAATCTACCGTACCCCTCTCCCACCCACCCGTGGGGGAAGCTTACGCAACAGGACGGGAGAGGAAAGACGACGGCAAACCTTGTGTGACAAGCGTGACAATAATTCTGTTTGAAAAAACCTTCCGGCAAACTTTACGTTCCTTTCAACAGATCTTTTCGTAGAAGAGCTTAAAACAACAATGTTAAGTGAATTTCCTACAAAACACGTAAGTAATAGCCCCGCCACGTTTGTCACACACAAACGATTTGCCGTCCTCTTCTTTCTGCCGTCCTGTTGCGTAAACTCACTAATGCCAAAAACTGACATTCAAAATCCCCAATTTTCCTTTTTTAAAATTTCTGAAAAAGACATGATACCATTTGCTTACTCTTACAAATAGCTGTAATTGGAATGGTCAGACCAAAGATTCTTGGACAGACTCAAATGTTAGAATTAAAATGCACAACGTGACGTTTGGTTCACTTGAGTGTACGTCTCAATAGCTTTCATTTGAATTTCCTAGGTTTAGATCTACTCATTAATATATTCGGACCAATATGCACAGAAAGATAGCCGCTGGGCAATATTATGTTTTCATTTAAATTATCGCATTATAAGAAGTCACTGGTCGCACTTTAAGATTCCACTCAAAGACTCAATAGTCATATAACCACCTTTTTAGTATGATGTACCGACAATAATACATTTTCCTTTGTAGCACGGATGGAGAGGTGAATCAAGATCAGGATGTGATTCTTCTGCTCACTTTCCAAGCTTACTACGTGGCTAGGTAAGCTGGATGATGTTTCCCCTGTCTGTTTGTTTGTTTGTTTGTTTGTGAAACTTAAAATTTAGACGGAAATTGAAAAAAATAACAATTCTTTTCCAAATATCAAGAACTCCTTGTATTGATGCATTTGAGGTTTGAAAAGCCTGCGTAAGTTGAGTTTGATCTATCGTTTAAATTCAGAATAACAATAATTAAATTTCATTCACTACTACAGTCATCTTTTGTCGGTGTTTTGGAGGTACTAGAGTGTATTTCCGCCAGGACTGCAGGTGCTAACTTACGTCTTTAGCCTTTGATTCCTTCATTTTACATAGACCATCGTTCCCATTTTCCCTCTTTCCCATTTTCCAGCTCCTTACTTTTTCGACTGCGTTAATGTACTGTTTTTTTTAATATGCAGCTATGATGACGAGGCCGAGAGAATAACTCAGTATGAACGCATCGCCCTTGAAGACTTGGAGAAGGTCGAGATTGGTGAGTGCTTCATTGCATGCCGTTGTAACATACATAAATACATGGTATTTTGTTTTTAAGATTGATTTTAATAGTGACAATTACTAAAACTGACATAATGACTAGAGACTACTGGTACACTAAACAGTATCAATAATTACAACCACTAGTTAATAAGAGGAAAATAAAGTCAACTTCACTTTTTGAACGATCTCTGGGAGATCAATATAATGGTCGTCTGAAGCTAGGACGTCAAAAAGAGTTAGTTTGATTTCCTCTTTAAGGCATTATTCGAAAGATTTGTGAAAGTTACAGGCATTTCATTCCATATTTTTGTTCCGATTCTAGAAAACGAGTGAAACCACTGACATGAAAAAAACACGTCTTTCAGACAGTACGTTTCCTCTGCTTTCAATTACTACAATACATTACTAACCTCTGTTTATTGATTTAGGACATGAAGCAAGTTTCAAAACCAAGTACCTCTTTACTCGCATATTTCGGCGGCATCAGGGGAACTCAGGTTATTTCCACACCCTTCGAACCATACAGCATCGAACAGCTGAAGATGCAAGAAGTAAGTTACTCTGCAGGTGTTTATTCGTGCTTAGCACGTCCTCGAATAAAGCATTGATTCTCGCTGCTGTAAAACGCAGTCTCGAGGACCATGTTTTGGTCAGATGTCCGAATATCCGGTTGAAACTGCAGTGCAATCCGCTTAAGTTGTCATAACCCTTGCAGACAATACTATTGGATCATTTCTTGTGTTCCTATTTGTTCTTAGTTATGTCAGGAGTTTGTTTGCCTTGCTACACTGTCCTATCAGATAAAAAAATCTCGCACCATTTCGTTGACATATCATGACCAAGATAAACTAGCTCTCGACTTCCGATCGGCTCATTCGGTGAGTGCTTTTCGTTTTATCAATACTCTATTGGAAGTGGCAATAGTATTTTCTCCATTTTAGGTGTTTTGCTGTGCATTGCGGATGCATTTGCCACCGCCAGAGCATCGCTAGACCTGGGTTTAAAAGTCACCGAGTGCCGACTTGACAGGTAAAGAGAAAATCCATTTGAATTGGAGCGGGGTAATTCAATTAGGTGATTCTCCTCGTAGAGCAGTTGTAGGGACATTTCAGATTCAAATTTTTTTGTACTATTACAAGATGTTCAATTCATTTTAATTCCAATTATAGAATCTGTACATGACGTCCTCTGGTGGGGCAACCATTGAGACAAAGCCTCTTTGGTTCTAGTTCTCCTTGGTTCCATTTGTTTGTAATATTTTTGTTTTTTTTTTCGCCCACTCAATCGGAAGTGGAAGGGTTGAGAGTGCCACACGTTGCAGACTTGAGTCCACATACTAAGATTTGGTGGAGATCAGTAGCGCATTACTCTCCAAAGATTCGGCAGCTTATAGGTGTCGCAGCACAAGTCTAAAAATAGAGTAAATTTGGCAGTACAACACTAATCGGCCAGATAGAGGTTCATGGTTTCTCGCCCTCTAAGGGTTTTGGAAACTGGTTTAATTGTTTTCCCGTAACACTTTGTCAACAATATGATAATTTTTTGGCACGAACAAAGAACTTTAGTATATCAGCCGAAAATTTAATAAGCTGTAGCTCAGGCTCCTGGATAATAGCCCCTGGTAGAGTAGAGTTAGAGACTTGTTACATCAATGTATGAAATCCAGTTAGTCCTTTCCTGGGTCAAGACATGCGCGAGAAGAATAAATTTTTATTCCAGGAAAAGTTTTGAGGTAGGTAGCGTTATTTACCACATGCGAATGTTTTTGTGTACAGCAGTCGAGGAAAGTTTGGAAACTTTGCTCGTAAATGTGGGTAATGGTCGGTTCATGAGTCTTGTCATGATATTTTGTTGGTTTTTCCTCCTCCTCCTGTTCCTCATCCGTCTTCTCCTTTGCTAAAAAATTAATTTTCGTTTCATATCGTTACAGAAGGAAAAGCAAACCTTCACCTAGCTTGATTCAAATTTCTTCCAAGTCCTGCCTCAGTAGCTGGTCAAGTACATCTCTTCGACCAAAGAGTAATTCTGCGACCGATCGCGCTCTGGATGACTCAATTTTTGCCTCCATAAAACGTGCAAAGCCTGGCGGACTTCCTACTTCTTTCTCGGACCCGTGTCTCGCCAAGAGAGTCTTGGAAGATTCAGAGCAGTTCAAGATTGCTAGCTCCAGTGCTCCGCAGAGTTGTTCTGGTAGCTCGGGTAGTGAAGTCGAAGATGATGACTCTGGGGATACTGATGAAATGGAACATTTTGATCCATCGATCAAAAACTCTGGTCAGGGAAAGGATGATGGGCAGAAGTTGGCAAAGGGAGCTTGTGTCAATGGAGATGTTCTCTCAGAGGATAAAACTGAGAATGACAAAATTGAAAATGAGAACTCTGAATTTGGTCTGAGAAAGAAGGAACTTCAGGAAGAAAGCTGTTCTGATCAACTAGAAACTTCGAAGGAATGTGGATTTGTTGTTGGGGACGACACCGTAGAGAGTTTAGACGACGTTGTAGGTGCTAACGACCAAGAAGTGTACGCCGGAGAGGAAGACATAACAGAAAGAGGGAAGGAAGTATATCAGAATGGTAGAGATAAAGGAAGTAGCATTAATCAAATAACAAATGGCGAGTCAAAGGAAGTACACTCAAACGGACACAGTGACGCCTCTGAACGTGGCAGTAAAAACGGTGAAATTGATTCACTTCAAACACAAGAAAACAGTAATCTTAATTCTAATGAACTGAGTGTCAGGTTTAAAGAAAACGACGAAGTTCATCGAATTAGCTTCCACGGTACGACTGCCACTATGAGAGTCAGTCATTCGAGCGTCGAACTGGGAACAATGGCAACTGCTGTGGAAAGCGAAAAAAGGGACGATAAAAGCCCAGAGAGGAGACGATTCGGGGCTCGTTTCCCTGGAAATCGAGGCTTAAAACTCTTCGCCACTGCGCAGGCGCGTGGGCGCACCCTCATACCAGAACTGCGTAATAAGCTGTCTTCATTTTCTCAGCAAGTTCGATCACGCTCACCGCGATCGAGCACCAAACGACCGAGCCTGCACACTGAACCTAACACTGAACAGAGGAAGTTGAGAAGAAAGTGCCGAACTAAAATTATTGAATTATGATGCATGGGTCAGCTTATTTTAGGTCACGCTACTTTTCTTTCACCCGTTTCGTCGCAACCCAAAGAGCGCGCCATGCATCACAGTCTAGACTGGTCTTGGGGTGAATCTAAATGAAACATCCTTGGATTATTGTGGTAAAGTTGTAGTGAGATAAAAACAATAAAGTTTGGGTGGTTGGGCTGTTCATGAGCAATGTAATTGCACTGGAAGATTAAAGGGCTCTGACAAGGCTATTTGACATTGTGAGACTGTTTTGTACCTGAGTTTGGTCAAAAGGCAACACTGAGGATAATAACAGCAACAACAAAACAACAAAGTAGGGACGGAGAAGATTAATATGGCCTTGCCAACCCTCAATATGTTCCTTAGAATATTTGACCGTACATAATTAGAAGTATGTTAAGATGCATGATGATGGCTAAGGGCGAGTCTTTCCCTCGCTATAAAAACGTTTCAGGAGACCGAAGACAGTGATAATGTTAGTGCAACCATTTAAAGGTTTATTTTATATTTTTTCTTGCATTTTTAGTTAATTAGAGAAAATTGCAACTTCGCTAAAACAATAATGATAAATCTAATTTCAAATATCTTGATCTTTTTGTGCAGTTCGTTGTTCTTGGTGTTTTTGTTGTGATGGACACCAGAAATCGTCCTTAGTTTTACTAGCTTTTACTAGTGAGGGGCACATATTTCGCCTACAGTCCCCTTACAGTTCAGCCTTTCACATCTTAACATTAAACAGGCCGACACAGCTAGTTAAATCTATTTAAATTTTCAACGTCTATTTTATTTTTAATCTACACCAGAAAAGAATTGTAATTAAAAAATAATGAGTTCAAACGTCGTTCTTGCCGTCTCTATTATGATAATCATTATTTAGTTACAAATTTAAATTCAAGTATTGGTCAAAGATTTTATGTGTATTTAGGTAAATTTTAATTTTTTGCTTCCTTTGTGTAGATAATTTTTGCACTTTTGCTTTAGGTAATTGTAAAATTTAAATATTGTAAATTTTTATGTAGAAAACTGTGAAAACTCTTTTGATTGTGCGTAAGGCTGTGCCTAACGCATATATTAAAGTTATTCTACAAACTTGGATTTGTTGAAATAAAAAGAAACTTTTTGGTTGCTCGGCATAACGTGGTCCTCTTGACATGTGTGATGTTAGTAACATAGCAATGACATGCAGCCGGGGTATTGAGAGGAAGGGAAAAAGGGAGAGGAATTTTCTCCCTCTCCGCACCCTCACCCTCTTCCTCCCCTTTTTGCGCCTACCACGCAAGCTAAGTCAATCACGAGTTGTTTGTTTATCTTGCAAACATTTTCGAGCGAGCGTTAAAACTGTTTTTCTTCGTGCATGTACACTCCCATCGTGGGAGTCTACGGCTTTATTTTTTTCGTGGTTGACCATGAGACCGCAATCCTAATCTCCAGGTCGCTACTACGCATGCTTGGCACGCGGCTTTTCGAGATTAAATTTTAATTTCTTTTGAATTTAGTCTTCTTTGGTTGGCTTTAAGCTTGCTTTAGCAGCAATGCCACATTTTTCATTGGGACGCACAGTGCTCCATGTTTGTCCAAGGAAGCCATAGTGCATCATTTTATTAACTTCGTTCCCAGAGTCTCGTCTTGGTGCTTGCCTCCAGGGATTGATAGTCGCTGGGAATGTCCATATGTCTCCTCAGTCAGTAATTATCCGTACTCCGCGGGCTCTGCAGTGGTATTAACAGAATTTGTTTAAACTACAGTTGATAACGATTTCTCAAATTCAGCGTCAGTTCTTGTCCGATTTGGCATTCATTGTTTTTGTGCTGGAGACTTAAAACCCTGAAGGACTAAAAACCAACTCTCCTCAGTTTTGAAATTTAAAGGAATCGCATTTAAACAATTGCAAACCCCAAAAGTTTAATTATACCATTTATGCCCCCAGCAAGATGAAGATTACAATCCATTTACGCCATCTACATTTATCTGCTCTCAATTGATACACAACTGCCAAACTTCACTGTCCATCAGTAGATGCTAATAAGTGTAGTCAGTTTGTATCCCGTCACCGACAGCTTAATAGCCTTGCCATTAACCTTTTGTTTGATCTGGGCTTAAAGTTGTTGAATTTTGTCGTTTACTCTGAAGGAAGTTATTTTCAAATTCATGGGGTAACTCTTAAGCTCAAATTTTCCATGGCGGATTACTCTTTCCTGATTATCAGGAGAGGCCAGACACTAGGCCAACACTTTGACAATGAGTTGATAGTATTCATGATAAACCCGAATTGACGATATTAAAACAATCACATTCAGTCACTGCTAAATTTAAGGAAAGTAACATTACGCGACTTGCATATTAGACATAACCAGAAACATAATCCCGATTTGGGGTTATATTCTTCTGACATAACTTGATCAGAATGTTGGCTGATCGTTCGAACAGACATCCCGGCGGACGCTGTTCTTTTGAGTAGAGTTTTGAACGTCGTGACAAAATTGAGCGCATTTTAGGCTTCCTTCGATGAACAGGTCCTTCCTTAAGACATTTGCATGATCAGTAGTTTATAATCTGTACCGTTCCAAAATTATCATCGCTACTAGGAATTTCATTCGTTTTAATGAAACTTTTTTTGTGCGGCAAAGGAATCCAAATCACTTTGTAAAGCTTAGTTGTTTTTAGGAATTTCACGCGTTTTAATGAAACTTTTTTCTGCGGCAAAGGAATCCAAATCACTTCGTAAAGCTTAGTTGTTTTTTTCTTCGAGAAATTGTCAACTGAATTCCATTGATATTAAGTGACATCACTAAGTAACATCAATAGACCTTTTCACGGTTTTCGACGCCATCTTGACGAGTAGGCAAACGCGTGAGAAATTACAGTGATTGTATGAGAATCTAATGTCGAATAATTTCCGTAGAACGGCTGTTCTGAAAAAAATATGACTTGTAAACTAAAGCTTCACTCCTAAGGATTCACCGGGAAAAATTTGAGGGCGTTACATGCACTTGAAGACCTAAAACCACTTCTTCTTTAAATTTTCTATTCATTTGTCTGTACGAAAGTCCCGGGAAAATTACAGACAAATATATGGAAAATCTAAAGCAAGCCTCTGGAGAAATTTAAGTACAGGTACGCCCCCCAAATTTTTTAGGACAATCCTTTGCATCGTAGCTTTAGTTTACAATTGATATTTTTTTCAGAACAGCCGTTTTACGGAAATTATCCGACGTTAGATTCTCATACAAACACTGTAATTTCTCACGCGTTTGCCTACTCGTCAAGATGGCGTCGAAAACCGTGACAAGGTCTATTGGTATTAGTACCGCCCGAGCCATCAACAGCTAGATAGTTATTGGTCAACCAGAATGTTGGGGGGAAATCAGGACACCATTAAAATTTTCCTGTAATTAATAAGAACCTTTATAGACAAACATTGAAGGGATACTTCAGAGAAACCGGGAAACAGATGGGGCTTGTAAGTATTATCCAATTATTTCAAGCCGTTTGTCTTTGAGGCGCTGCTGAGCATGTGCCAAGTTATTTCTGCAACATCCAAACTTTAGTAGTGCAAAATTTAAAACCGAGAACGGATATCAGATTATGGATCATGTTGTTTTCTCTTTTGACGAAATCTACCGGATACCTTGCTGATTTCAGATTTGTTGTTTAAATAACGAGTCAAGATTTACCATATTTTTGCGTCAACGAGCTTTTTCTGAAAGCATCATGTTGATAACATGATATTTAAAACCCAGCTTAAAAATACCAAATAGACAAGTTTTACTTTCTCCCTTCCTGTTTATTTTCACAAGATCTTTTCTTATTATTGTGTTGATTGTGAATCTTAAATGGCGGTGAAATAACAATGGGGTAAATATTTTTCCTGACGTCTGTGTGTTCAAAAATTGGGTTTTGTTCAGTTCAGACGCGAGTTTTAATTACTATTTAGGTCAAAGCTTCCGACATGTTTGCTTTCCTCCAAAAATATAGTTTGAAGCTAAGGTAGAGCCGTTGGTAAATGCTTTTTGTGTCCAGAGAAAAGAGAGAAAATGATGATTTTTGTCAGCATCATGATAGTTCCTATTCAGTTTTCATTCAATTTCATGCGCCCAAAATACGGCAACTTATAAACTGTTGGTTATGTAGAAAACTGAACGATTGATTTATCAGTCATGCTACCCCTGTAAGTTCGAAAATTAAGATATACCAAACAAAACCATGCGACCAAGTCGTATTCGAATCCAGATCCGAGGTAACGAGCATAACTTAGGATCTATGTGAATATCAGTACAAATATACGATAAACGTTCCTTTTATTAAACTATAATAATAGAAAGCTGTTTAATATTCCTTTTTGGTTGCCCTTATGTGCTCAAAATGCGGATATTCGTTTGACAACCCCTTTTTTAAAAACTGACAGCTCCCGTAAACGCTTTTGTTGTATTGCCAACCTTTTTTCTTACAAACTTTCAGCTGGGCAAATAAACTGAGAATGCCATGAATTATTCTAATTACTTTTCCTTCAACGTGCGATAACTGTTTTAAAATCCCTATAAAAGGCTGTCAGATTCACAAGATTAGAAGCAGGCACTGAGGAAACATCGAACTGTATAACAGGAGCTCTATCCCACAGAATCTATTGAAGAACGGTACTCTCAACTTCTCTTTTTTAGTAAAGACATCATGGAATCGTATAGCCCTCAATGCAAAGTTGCTGCCAACAAATGCATCGAAAATGACCTGAAGTACAACATCACAGAGCCTGATTTCGAAACCCCTTGCTGGAAGAATTTCCTTGATCTTTGCTTGCCTACAACGAAACTTCCGCCATCTAGAACCTGCCCACAAGCAAGCTTAGCCTTAGTGATGCCGCTTATTGTGGTGGCAGTGCTGTCAATCGCAGCCAATTCTCTGGTCTGCGTCGTATTCTCTCTCTACAGACAGCTTAGACTTATAAGACATTACTTCGTTGTTAACCTCGCAGTAGCTGATATCCTCATTGCTGCCATACTGATACCGTTGTTTGCCGCAGCCCAGTTGACAACTAATAACGTTATTTTATACCGATGCCAGATTGTCCTGGACATCGCCTGTGGTACAGCGTCTATTCTATGCCTTGTCATGATCAGCCTGGAGCGGTATGTGGCAGTGAAGTACTCACTTTACTATCACTCCATAGTTACTCAAAGGAAAGCTGTTTTTTGTATGGTCTTTATTTGGGTGTATTCGTCCATTGTGTCCTGTGCAGCTTTTCTATCCCTCTTAAAGAAACCGGAAAACGAAGAAGATGAGCGGTGTATGTTTATTGGCCGAGAATACGTGACATTTATCACCTTGGCGAGTTTTGTGTTTCCAGCAGCTGTCATGTCTGTAGCTTACTGGAATATTTTTCTTGTGGCACGTATGCACGCACGAAGGATACAATCACAATCCTTGCCAAATGATTCAATGGGATCCAAACGTGGCATAAAGAGAGAGCTTAAAGGGGCAAAAACTTTGACCGTGATAATGGGTACTCACTTCTTCTGCTGGTGCCCTCTGTTTGTTTTCTTTCTTGTTTACACGTATTGCCCATCATGTCGCGGCAAATCTATGGACGCTATCAACTATGTCATATTGTTCCTTCGTTATTGTAATTCTCTGGCAAATCCTCTAATTTACAGTGGAATTAACAAACAATTTCGCGCTGGTATCAAGCGATGCTTGTTCCGACGAGATGAATATATTGAAGAAATGCAAACCACGGCTGCTACTCAGAGAATGTAAAAAAGAAATCAAAAGAACTAATTCTTTGACCAATAACGAATTATTGTTGTCTGGGAAACGGGGTAATACAAGAGTAATGCACATTAATGTTATTCAGTTTCTATTAAATCTTGGCAAAGTAAAAATAATAAGGGAGACTTAACATTATATGAACCTGGAAAACCAATATAAAAGTTAAAAGAGCTATGTTTTTTTGTTACTTTGTCATTTGTGGCTTTTTTTTTGGGGGGGGGGGTTAAAACAACTGCAAATTGATGCCACGTAGACTATCACGTTCACAGATCAGGAGTGTTCGAGGGTAGACCTTCATGTTACATTAAACCTGTAATGATCTCGGGTAGGTTTTTGAAAGTAATACAAAGTATCTTACGTGATTTGATGGCCTCATACTATTACTAGAACATGTAAAGTCGCTTAAACTGGTAACTATATTGGGTGATGAATAATATCTTTCATAGTATAGTTTGGCAAGTATTATTTATAGCCTTAGCTGGACAATGCATTTGACTCAGTGCATTACAAGGATTAACGTCAGAAAGTTTTTTCTAATATCTTTCTTAATTTGCAAAGAGATTGCATTTTTCTGTCAGGTAGTTAAAATAAGGACACAAAAGGTGCGACTAAGCATCTGAAATTGTCAAATTATGATTGTCATGGAAACCGTAAGTTGCTTTTCAATATCCGCAGATGGCACTTCATATATTTACATTCGGCGGAACTAAATCGTGGGTGGCAGTGACAGAGAATGTAAATATTTTCCCACTGGAATGAACGCACGTGAGAAGCTAGTGCGCTAATTGACTCTAATGCTGCTGGTCATGACGCTTTTAAAATAGCAAGACCCAATATTATTGCTTTTATATGGGCGGAAATCCAAAATTTGTTCCATGTAAGGATGCAGGCATGTACACTTGGGAGTAAGAAATAGTGCCCGTCGCAGACTGCGATATTCTGTTGATGTTCCCGGGAAATAGAAGCTTGATTTAGAGTATCTCGGGTCAGATACTTATTCTTTTTATCGTCGATCGAAAATGGAAACTGGAATTAAGTGGTTTTTGCCCCAAATAAAGTGGGACTTGGGTCACTAGGACAAGGATTTGCTAAATGGAAAAAAATGTTTCATTTAACATTTCTATGGACGATATTTAGCGGGCACTCAGAAAAAAAAAAAACGTCACGGACGTATATTTTATAGCCAGCAAAGACTAAAGCAGACATTTTAAGGAGAAGCGTTGTTTAATTTCTTAACTGCATCAAGTTAATCCTATAGAAATCTCACAATTAACGTTATAGTGTTGTTCCTAAAACAAGAAAATGGAATCCAACACTTTACTTTGCATCGATTCATATTGACCGTCTTACTTTACGACTCAATCAGGTGCACTGAACATTAGACAAAACGTTTGAAAGGTCACTTGCCATTTGTCTCAGATTTTTTTTTTTTTTTTTTTTTT